TATATGTTCTTTTAGAGAAATTTAACTTTCTTGATTGGGTTTATCCTTGGATATTTTTGAAGATATCATAAATAGGGTTGTTTTCCTGATTAACAATGAACGTTTCATTTCCAAAAATTTCAATTTGATCTTTTTCAGTTTTTCTATCTTTTTGTTAAATTACATGTTCCTGACCTATATTGTCTTATTTCATCCATTCTTTTGTGCTCTTTTTAATTCATTCATAGTTTATCCATATCCTCTGACTCCATTTAAAATTCTTGAAATTCCTTTGAATTATTTTGCTGGAATTTCATCTACTCCACCCATACTGGAATCTATTGCTATGATTTTAAGTTTTAAGGATCTGTATTGATTTCATTTTTCATATTTCTTCTATTTTTTCAAAGTGAATTCTGGAATAATCTTCCACTGAATGAGCTTAGCATCTTGCATTCTTTCACTTGAAATACTTTCACAAGTCAATACACTGTACTTTCAAATATTTTCTTTAGGTAGAGAATTTTGAACACCAAGTATCTCAGGTTTTTATGTAATAATAAGAGCAATTTATCTGGGAGAAAAGAACAAAGTAGACTTAAGGACTTTGAAATTACTTAAAAATTACTGGATGTACATTTAACTCTTCTTACAATAGTAATGTATACACTATATGTTTTTATCATAATTGCAAGAAATTAATCCGTCACACTTAAGACTTTAAAACAGCTTTCTAACTATCACTCGTTTAATAGCTGCCTTGCCTTGGTTTAGATCCTGAAGTTCTAGCAATTCCTCAAGTAATTTTTCATTCTGGTCTTCCTTCTCTGAAAATAAAAAAATCTTTTCCTAATTCCTTTATTTCAAGTATTTCACCCAGTTATAATCTTATTCTTTCATGTGTTTTGTATTATACACATTGTGATATAGTGCTATTGTCTACTTCTGTTTTTTATTAATAACTCTCACTTTCTTGCTCCCTTACTGAGATTAAAAGAGCTTGAAAAGGGGGAATTTAAAGATATTTAACCCATGGCAGAGAAATAGACTAATCTGACAGGCAACAAAAGAGAAATTATTTCTAGAAGACAAGTAGGATTGGGGATTTTGTGAATTACCAAAGAGTTTAAAGTACAACTCAGTGTGTATTCAGTAAAGGGAACAGAAGGAGAGAGTGCTGGTCTGATGATAATTTCCAGTAAGAGCACTAAACAAAAACAACAAAGAGAGTGGGTCCAAAATAAATAGCCACATTAACCTTGGTATCAAGGAGACTTTGATAAAAGAAAAAACACTCAGGCCTCAATTTCCAACTGAAAAATTATGAACAGATATTCACTGTGTAGTATATCATATTAGAGTGTATGGTACAAATAAAGACTATTATTCAATTGTTTAAGCCTAAGTAATTCTGGCAAAGTGAGTGAATTCATTTATGCTCTTTGCTATATTTATTCCTAAATACGAACCATCTAATGAGCCTTCACTTTTTGCAAAATTATAAACAAATGGAAACCTGAGGTCTATTTCTGATTTGTGTTTCTGTGGGAAGTTCTAAATTTATGTTCAGTCACATAAAAGGCTCAACAATGGCGGGAAGTAGGGAATGATAGAGATATCTAGCTCTCTAAGCCAGCTGTACATGGAGGAATAGCCAGGCCAAGCCAGGTTCAAAAGATTCAATAATGACATTTAAGTCATCCTTTTCCACAAGGAAATGATTGCTACTGTATAAGAGCTTAATATGAAGACACTGGAACCAAAGGGAAAACATGGACATTGTAGGGGATAAATAATCCTTGGTACTGAAGGTCTTTGGAAGGATCCCCAAAGGATCTTGTTATTCTATTGTGAGAAACATTTTATTTTCCCACCTGAAGAGTAAAAAGTCAGAGTGAAATATTATATCGAGTACACTAAGCTGTACACTTATGAAAAGTATTACTGAAATGGTTTTTTTCAACCGTCTTCACATTATGTTTTTCTCCCTTGGTTTACTAAGCACAAGGAGTGAAAACATAACTTGTGAGTTAGAAACCAGGACGTCTTCCCCCAATAGGCAGTCAAGCTAAACATTCACACACCAACTAAATCTAATAAATTCAATTATCACAGAATTAGGATATTTAATAGAGCTGGCTTAACAATGTAACAAAAATAAAGCCCAAACCATACTCTCTGTCAAAGTCATCATAATTTTTGAGATTTAAAATTTTGTTCAATGACACAAAAGTGACAGCTACTCAGAAGCAGCTGCTGTGTAGTGGGGGCATACGGTAGACAGACATTGCGGAAACTGCTGCGCGTGCCTCTACGGGCAACCGTCAGATCTTCTCAGATGCCCCTGCACTCTGCGTGGCAGCCAGGTAAAGTCATCCACTCTAGCGATGATGATCCACTTGTACCAATGTAGTTCTTGGATCCTCAGGAACTAAGTAAGCATTGGAGTCCCTCCTGCACTGACCCAGAACACTGCAACCTTTGGAAGGGAACTGAGCTGCAAGTTCACATTGCGATGCTGGGTGCAAAGTAAACATTAGAAGCTCGTCAGTGCTGACTCAGAAAACTGTAACCTTCAGGAGGGACCTGAGCTGCTGACTAGCTCTGAGTTAAAGAGCTCCCGGTGTCATGAGATCTCTCTTCTTAAACAACAACCCTGCTAAGATTCATTACAAGACCATCATCTGTGCCACCTTGCAGTTTTTGATTGGCACTACTCTCATTGTGACGGGCTGCTTTCTGCTGACGGGCTACATCAGCCACATGGGGACCAGCCGGATCATTGCCATCCTGATTGTGGGCTTCTTGGTGTTTGTGCCAGGGTGTTACCATCTGATCATCATCTGTAGATTCTGCAGAGGCTGCCAGAGCTACTCTTACAGTGACCTTCCAGACTGAGGACTAGCCCACAACAGTAGGGAAGGGGTTTACAGGTGGGACCGAACAAACCTGCAAGGCACTGGCGGGAGGAAAACTGCACCTGGAATTAAAAGCTTTATAAATGATAAATAAAATTATGAGCACAGTTTACAAGTTCATCCCAAAGGTAGCTTGAACTTACAGCTAGGCAAAGGTCAAACTATGTCTGTTTTAATCCTCTGAATCTCCCAAAAACACCTGTTAAATTTCTACATGGATATTTATAGTCAGAGAAGAGCATGAAATCCTGAATCTGTGTGGTAGTGTGGGGACACAACCATCCTATGCAGAACTGAACATACATTAAATACTCCTGGGTGACAGTTTTACTATGTGGCCACTGGAAAAGGCTGATACCAATTCTGTTATAATAACTGATTTTTAGATTTACAATCCTTCACTTATCTCTTACTTTATAGTCTAGGTATGATTTAGTAAAACCAAATATCATTTGAGAAAAAACACTATTGCTTTGTTGTGCAGGGGCCCTTTTGCTTTTAGAACCAAACTTACTTAAATTCAAGGTGCAAGCTTTCTTAGCCATATAGCCTTGGAAAGATTACCTTAAAATAGTGAGAATTTGGAAGCAAAATTCCTACTGTTTGAGATCCTAGTAAGCAAAGTATTTTAGATCAGTGGCATGAGACAGGAATAATCAAAGAAAACTTAATTTTTTCTCTGGAAAATAAGCTTTCTTCCTCCTTCTCCCCTTGCCACCTATGGCAGGTAAGAGAGCCAGCCTGGGGGTCAAAAGAGTGGGAGAGCTGGCCCTGTCCCTCACTGGCTGCAGCACACAGGAGAATGGGCCTTGTACCTCACCTAGGCAAAAGAGTAAAGCTAGCCCTGGTGGTGTGGTTGCAGGTGAGCTGGCCCTGCTCCTTTTTATCTGCTGCATTGGGTGAGGTAGCCAGGGCAGCGAAGTAGTGCTCATCTTGGTAGTGACAATGAGGGAAAGTTGGCAGACTGACAAACCCAGCTACCATCCAGGCCCAGAATTTGGGCTATGCCTTGGTCCATCCCAACATCCACCTAAACTGTGAACTGTTGGAGCATGTGATGAGACCAGACCTGCATGTCCGAGCTACTGGATCTCTATGACAAAAGGCAATAATGTGATATCCAGGAGCAGACTCAGTGAGGGCACAGTATCCAGGGCATAGCAGAAGCCAGAGTCCTCAAAATAGACCAATGAGCATTGCAATGAACACTTAAAGATGTATGAACTAAAAAGTATACTGTGTGACTCACTGTTTCACATACAGCTTCCACACCAAGACATATTTGTTTTTGTTTAGTGTTTTTCTTTTTGCTTTCATTTTATGTTGGGGTGGCAGTTGCAAGGGCAGAAGGGAGATGAATGGGATTGGGATACATGATGTGAAATCCACAAAGAATCAATAAAGTTTTTTAATAGGCTTCTTTTGAAGAACATAGATCAAATTAACTATAAATTGCCAACAAGTTGCTGCCATTCACTTCAATCTGATAGCGGAGCATCATCCCTGATGAGAAAGGGACTCTCCATACAAAGTTGCAATCTCAGCATGAAGTATGACACTGGGGTGGTGCTTATTTGTATTAGTCTCCCTTTTGAGGCTGCTGTACAAATAGGGCAGATACAGGATTAATGGAGCCTGCGGCAGATTATTTTTGAAGAGTCTTCTGATAAGAAAATGCAAAATTATAAATATGAAATTTATGAAAAAGTGTACCAAGGGTTGGGCTTGATTCATTAATCTCAGACTAAATCTAACTTTGGTACAGAGGATAAACAATCAACAGGAGGGGACTGTGTGGACATGTCTGCCATAGAGCTGCTTGGCACTGGATAAAAGGGGACAGTAGTGAAATCAAAGTAGGATCCTCCCAACTATCAAAGTAAGAGCCTTCATAACCAGCTCAGAATAAGTAAAATGGGTCACTGACCAAGCTAAGGGAGGTCCAGGGTCCTAAAAGAATTCATCAACAGTCCATGAAGAACTAACAGCAGATGTCCTGTATTTAATGGGTTCATCCAGGCAAGTGGATTCCTTCTGGGTGATTCCTCCAGGGAAGAGAAGATCAATCTTGACATCCCACATTGTGGCGTCATAATCGTTGATGCAAAAACCACATCTATCATCTTAAAGGGTACAAGAGATAGTTTATTGTGGAGCCATTTTGAGTGACTGTGACGAAGGGACACAGATTTAGGTTTCCCTAAATTCTATCCTGCAACGTGGAAGGAGTTTCGTGAAGTTTTTATCATTTCATAAACAAAAAAATCATAAATCAAGGCAAGTTTAAAACACTTTGATGGGTACATCAGAGAGGGAGATACGACAATGCGTGTGGAACTATTCTGTTCTTCTATCTATCCCATGACATTTGGCAGAAGTTAGTGGTCTGCTAAGCTAATAGATTTCATAAAGGCTTTTAGCTGTTGTCACAAGATGTTAGTTGTGTCACAGTGGGGCAAGAAATGACTGCTCCGAACTTGACCCACTATAAGATAATTAGCTTCTGAACCTTCAACATTCCAATCTCTCCACAGTACAGAATTCTAATCCACCACTTGATCTCTGCAGACACTGATTCGCAGCTAGATGCAGCTTCCTTTCAGAAGTTGGCTTTCACAGTAGGTTGGCTCGGTGAGATGCATAAGCACCGTGAGTCTGCATTTTGGGCTCTCCTGGTGCCTGAAACAGTATCTATTCCCATGCCATTGTCAGCGAACCTACAAGATTCTCTTAGTGCACTCAACATCCCACCAGTGTCTCTCAAAACGTGGGAGATACATAGAGAATGATCGGCTTTCCACTAGTTCAGACCTCATTCTTCATATCATGACTGGATCAAGCAGTCACACCCTTAAAGTTTTCCAGCACCAGATCACAGTTCCTCCCAGTCTGTGCTTTAGGCTGAAGACTTGCTCCTCTTGGGTTTCTGAAACAAAACCGAAAAGGTCGGTTCGGATTGGCTGAGCTAGGAAGAATGACAGACACTTCACCAAATCACAAAACTAGAGTTTTCGTCTTAGTTCCCGCCCTAGAATCGCAGCAACAGTGCTGCTTGATTTGTTTTATCGAAGCAAAGGCCAACCTGGGGTTGCTATGGAAACAGGACGCTGCAACCTGCGCAGCCTGTAGGACCGCTCACTTGGAGAATTTAGCAAAGCTCTGTATTGTTTCCTTCCATAACTTCATTCTCCTTTCAGCCAGATTTTTTTTTCTTGACTCCTATGGAAAACTCCACTTTAAAGCAAGAAGAAGAAAACCAAGAGCCTGAGGAAGCAGAGAAGCCATGGGAAGGAGCGGCAGCAGTTTCTCCCCAGGATCCTGGTCCCCTGTCACCTGAGTACCTGGAAAAGGAGCAAAGGTCAGACACTGAAATCCAAGGCACAATGAGCCCCTCTTGGGGCCGCCAGTCTAGAGCCAGCCTGTCTCTGGGAGACCTCATGGGACCAGAAGTGCCATCCTCCCCTCCTCTGCTTCCACTGGAGTCTAACTCCAGTCCTCCCCCCACTATATCGACCCAGGACCCTGTGGCTTCATCACAGGCGGAGAAGATCCCCGGTGGGATTCCTGGCATTGCAACACCACCTCTTTCTGATCCTTGGGAACCATATTCTGCTTCTTACTACACAAGCCAAGCAGAGGAAACCGCCTCTCCACCCTCTCAGCCATCCCCGTTTGACTTGTGTAGGCCAGGGGATGCCAGCCATAAGAAGCCCAAGCCCAAAGGGCTGAGATTCGACCTTTTACAGGAAGAAGACTCAAACAGTAACTGTGATCCAGACCAACCTGAGTTTGAGGCTAATGAAGCAGCTCCCAGTATGCTTGAGGTGGCCGTTCAAAATGCAAAGGCATACCTACTGAGCACCAGCAGCAAGTCTGGTTTAAATCTGTAAGTATCACTGGGAGTGGGGGAGGGACAGTTTGACAAAGCAGGGCAGGGGCAGAGGGCGGGAGTGTCTCTGTGAAAATGTGTTGGAAACAAAAAAAAAAGTAGAATTGGAAAAAATTCCATTTGGAAAAATAGAAGGTATTGTGTATGATAGAATAGGCCTTTAATCTCAGGACCTGGGAGGGGAGGTAGAGGCAGGAAGATATTTGTTATAGGTCTGCCTGGTCTACACAGCAAAGTACTGGTCAGCTAAGGCAACACAGTGGAACCCTATCTCAAAAACTATCAAACAGAGGAGAGGAAAAACAAAGAAAGTGAATTGGTGAGGTAACTGTATCAAGCACTCAAATCCAGGCCCCTGTTAATGATTCTTTTAGGTCTTTGAAGACCCTAGGCACCATTCAGATAGTTTCTGTTTGTTTTGGGCCTCATTATTGTTTGGTTTGTTTGCTCTTGACCTGGAAGGAGTTACAAAGTCATGAAATCTAAGCACCTACCCAGGGTGCCTGTAAAATATAACTGCCTATGATGACAGTGTGCTCTCATTCCAGGACTTGCATAGGTTGACTGTATGTTCAGTCCCAGGCCAGTGCTGGGGTGACCACCCGTCCTGGTTTTCTTAGGAGTGTCCTTCAATGTAAGCACTAAAAGACATCCTATATTCTACAGGAGACCAGAAAACCTGGTTACTTAAAAAAAAATTCCAGTTTTTCTTTTAAACATGGGGTAGTCAACTGCCAAGTGTGTTCTTACATTTCACTATGGCTTTGAGGTGAGAACTCACACCAGTGTAGGTTTCTAGACATTTTTGCTTCCAGAATTACATAATCATAGGTGAATCTTGTGACTACAATCGATGTTAGAAAACATCAAATGGGGGCTGAAGAGATGGTCAGTGCTTAAGGATACTGGTTGATGTTGGAGAAGACCCAGGATCAATTCGTAGTTCACAACACAGGTTAAAAGAAATGGGTTAAATTGAGAGGTAAGCATTAGCCAGTAGGAAGCTAGAACTAATGGGCCAAGCAGTGATTTAATTAATATAGTTTTGTATGATTATTTTGGGTCTGAAGATCTGAGAACATACAAGTGGCCTCTTAAAACACACAACTGTCTGTAACTCCAATTTCAGGGCTGCTGAAGCCCCTTTCTGAGCACCCTGCCATCAGGCACACACTGGCTGCACAGTCCTATGTGCAGCCAAAACACCCATACATGTTTAAAAATGTTAATAAATTTTTAGAAAAAGAAACAGTCAAATCAAGTCATTCTTTTTGTTTTGTTTTGCTTTGTTTTTCGAGACAGGGTTTCTCTGTGTAGCTTCGGTGACTGTCCTGGAACTAGCTGTTGTAGACTAGGCTAGCCTCAAACTCACAGAGATCGGATTGCCTCAGCCTTCCAAGTGCTGAGATTAAAGACATGCACCACCACCACCTGGCTAAGCCATTCTCTTTTATTATAAAGGACCTGACTCAGAAACTCATGGAGAACTTAATTTGCTTGATTCTCAGTTTGGTTTCATTCCTCATTACTCTTCTCTAGTCACAAGAAATAGTAAGTTTCCATGATGCATCTGCTGAGAAGGCTCTTTCCCTCAATCGTTGCCTAGATAGTTTCTGACCCTTCAGAATTCAGCTGCCATGGAACTCTCTTGCAGTAATGTATTCTTTTATTTCATTGTACTTTGTGATATTTATAATTTTACAAATGTTTTTGAACTTATGTTTTGATGCCTGGCCCTCCCACTTATGTTTTGATTGGAGGGATCATCATCCTCCAAAATATGAGTAAATAGCAGCAAGAACTAGAGGCTACATCTTCCAAATACAATGTGGGTGCATGTGAGTACTGGAAACACTACTCAAGTCCTCTCAAAGAACAGTAAATACTCTTAACCACTACATAACTCCTGGTCATAAAAAAAAATTATTTATGTATCTATATGTGGGTGTATGCTTATGAAAATGTGGGTGCTTTGGAGGTCATGATATTGGATCCCATGGAGCTGGTGTTTAGTTTCCACATTTCTTTTCAGCTGATAGTGTTTTCTAACAAAACAGAAGGCAGTTCAGTAGATCTTGATGATATTGGAAACAAAGTCTCAGTAGACAAAGGCTAAAGACTTTGTCACTGTTTCATCATTAATTCACCCATCCATCGATGTATCCATCCATCCACTCATCTTTCCATGCATTCATCTACTCATCCATTCATCCATTCATCTACCCATCCAACCATCCATCCACACATCCATCCATACATCCACTCATTCTAACTCTGTAAATCAGTATTGTGCCAGGAGAGAAGTGTAGAGTAGTGTGTAAATCCCATTCCTCACCTTTAAATCTGATGCATAAAAACTATAGAGTAAGAATTGTGAGGGTAAATGAGTTTTGCTAATTTAATTGTGAAACAGAGTATATAAAAATGTCATAATTACCACTCCAGGAGAAGGCACACATATAAGAATATTTGGGCAGCATGAATTGGCCTTGATGGAGGGGAAAAAAAGGACAGAAGTTAGAGTGTGTGGATCTGGGAAGCATTGGGAGGGAGAGGGAAATATGATCAAAACACATGTAAAATTCTCTAAGAACTAACAAGAATAGTTTAGAACAAGAGAAAGAAGCAAAGAATTTGGTGATTTGTCTTTACCTGAACCTAGGCAAATAACACTATGAAATGCTTTCTTTGGGAGTCTAAAAACATGGAAGCAAAATGTTACTTTAAAAACTTTGATGTAGGAGGTGGAGAGAGGGCTCTGCAGCTAAGAGGACTAGTTGCTCTTGCAAGAGACCAGGATTTGGTAGCCAGCACCCACATGCTAGTTCACCACCATCCTTTAATTCTGATTCTAGAAAATCCAATAGTTTCTGACCTTCTCAGGAACCAGAATGCAAATGATACACATGCATACATGTAAGCAAAACACTCACATGTATTAAATAAAATAAACCTAAAAAAAGAGATGTAGGTGCTGGAGAAATAGCTTAGCAGTGGTGAGCATGTACTGCTCTTGCAGAGGACTAGAGTTTGGTTTCCAGCACCAATATTAGGCAGCTCACAAAGCACCTACAACTCAGAATCCAGGAGATCTGGCATGGGCACCTGCTTTCATATGCACATACTCACATGCGGAGACATAATTGGAAATCCTTTAAAATATATAAGCACACAACTCTTAAAAATTAACAGTATTTGATATCAGATTGTATTTGGTGAGGGCAAGGATGAGGACCAGGAAATAATTAAGGTAAGAGTAAAAAATATTCATCACAGTTAGTATATGTTAGGAGATTTCGGTTTCAGAAAGGAAATGTGAAAATAGCTGATGTGTATTATATATCTTGCTGTTATGCTTTCCTCTACTAACTTAAATATCCACACCATATTAGAGGATTTACTATAGAAAATTCTAGAGTAGGTTCTATCTGGAGTGGTAGAAATTAGCTTCTCTTCAAAAATCTCTTAAGATTTCAAAGTTTTAACTTTCTTAAAACCCAACTGAATTTGCATGAAAAATTTTTAAATGTTCATGATGTATATGTTATCTGGAATTTTCTCTGTCTGGTAGATATGATCATCTTTCTAATGTGTTGACCATGATATTAGATGAGCGCCCTGCAGATGCTGTTGATATCATTGAAAATATAAGCAAAGATGTGAAAATGGCAAATTTTAATAAAAAGTTAGATACACTCCACAATGAAAATGAGATGCTTCCAGCATATGAAATAGCAGAGAAGCAAAAGGCTCTGTTTCTCCAGGGACCATTGGAAGGAGCTGATCCAGAACTGGAAGAGGAAATTGTAAGTGATCACCAACTATCTCAACAATATTAATGAACACTGGAATCTCAGGGTTGAGTGGGGCTTGCCTCATCAATACACCATCTTATAGCTCTGTAAATAACTGTAAGTGATTGCCAAATTTCTCAGTGCTACTAGTGAACACTGGAATCTCAGGAATGAACAAGGTTGCTGGTCTACTAAGTGAGCTCCAGACCAGCAATGAATTTATAGTGAGATGTTTTCTCACAAGAGAAGGTGAGAAGCCTCAGAGAGGGCTACTCTTCCAGAGGACCTGGGTTTGGTTCCAAGCACCACATGAAGGCGCACAACCATAACTCCATTCCAAGGGAATATAACACATACATATGGTGCACAAACATACATGCTAGCAAAACACCAATACACATTAAAATTAAGGCTAAATAGATTTTAAGGTAAGTACACACATACACACACACACACATATATTGAGTGTTTGGTAGGCAATGTCATCTAGGCTTGAAGAGGTTCACTCCATGATATTTGCACGACCAACCTGCTGAATGAAATCTCTTCAAATGTGCCACCATCAAGTGATGCATGACTATAAAAGCTTTATATCAAGTTGCATATTTTCCTTTAAATTAGGTTCAAAACATAAAAGTACTTCTATTATCACTTCCAATATGTGATCGTTTTTAGGGTAAGATCCATTTGTCTGGGTATTTACCATAGTTTAACAATGGTTCAAAGTACAAGCAGTTAGAAATAAAATTCTTTATAAAATCAAAAGTCAAATTGGTGAAAATATTTGGAGAAAGAATTGGTAATAGAAGGCAAAAAATATATAGTTTGGAGTAAAATATGGTGACTCACAAAAATTTCAACTTCAAATACTTCAAAATAGTATTCTATATCTTTTTCCATAAATGCTTGTATAATTAAAAAATTATATATAACTTCTGAGCTTTCATGTTCTAGTAACAATAATCTATTTAAAATAAACTACTTTCAAAATAGAATCCTCAGGGAAAAGCAAAGGAGGCAAGGGCTTGGCTGCGCCTACAGTGCTTTGGTGTAAGAGCCTTTGGGAAGAAACTCAGCCTGATGCAAAGAATCAGAGAGTCCTTGGATGGCAGGGACCTGTGATAAGAGCAAGGAGCTAATGCCAGGCTGCTTTGCACAATGGCATTGGAGTATGTGTCAAATGCAATAATGAGAACTGTAGAAGCATTCAGTATGTGGGGATCAAGCAGATGGCAGACATTCTCAGGGATACCTTATAAAGAACTGTCAGTATTCAATACAGGAACAGGGCCCCCAGCTGTCTTAAGCAACTTCACCAGATCTGGATCTACACCCAGATATAGGAGGTGAGTGAGAAGACACAAAGCTGTTTTGGGTCTGAAGCCAGACCACCATTGACACAGCATCTTCCTAATAAAAGTTCAGGCCAGCAGTCCTGGAATATCAGAGCTGAGTTATGGGATAAAGAGTACAACTTCCCAACAGGGGCCAAAAAGAGGGTAAAGGCTTCTACGCTGGCGTGCCTAAAGACTTACCTGAGTTCAGCCCTGGAGCCTACATGCTTAAGGACAGAACCAACTCCAGAAAGTTTTCTTTGACTTCCACTGTTGTGTTCCTGACCCCATGATATTGTAGCTAAGCGACCAGGACCAAGAGCAAGTCGTACTCTACATGCCAGCGAAAGAATTTTACAATCTATGCCACAGTTGAGGATTTTAAAAGGCATTTTATTAGTCAAGCCAAGTAGCTTTTAATTCCAGAACTCAGAGGCAAAGGCAGACAGATCTTTGTGAGTAAAAGACCAGTCTGGACAACAGAGTGAGTTCCAGGACAGCCAGGGTTACATACACATTATGACCTGTCTCAACCAAAACCAGACAAACAAACAACCTCCCCCAAAGTCTTTATATTTTTCTTGACACCACAATGGGAAACTATAAACACTAGCAAGTCATTTGTGAGAATGATGAGTGCTCACAACTGCTCTGTCCCGTGAGTCGAGACTGTTTGGGAAGCATCCCACATTAGCTAAAATTCTTTCGCATTTCCCTTTGGTCTTCTAAGTATAAATATTCTAGTGTCCATTTAGCACCTTGTATTCATTTCCTTGTATTTCTTTTATGGAATTATGTTTATCTTCACTACTTCAAATGTTACTATTTACTATATATACTATCAAGTACTTATATTTGTGTTTTAAAGTGTAGCTCATGCCAAGCACTTCAAAAAATATTTACCTTTTTAATATTTTCCATTATTTTCCATATTTTCATATCTAAAATGTTAATTTATTTACATAACATACATTTAAAACCATGAATTTAATACATACTTCAGTGATAACATAAATGAATATAAATATGTGTCTGTTAGACTATATCTTATTTTATCATTATTAACTTATTTTATATGAAAAATAATGTTGAATTTTTTTCAAATATAGCCTCACTAGATAGTTTGGCTGGACTGAAATTGGCTATGTATGCTAGTTGGCCGCAAACTGAAAACTGTCTACCTGCCTTTACCTCTCTAGTGCTAGGAATAATGATGTGAACCATCGTGCCTGCCTTGAATGTTTATGATGTATAATCATTAAGTTCTTTATAAGAGTCACATAAAACAAAGTAACTATAATCATATCGATGAGTATAGCCCAAAACTGGTCTAAGAAGCCTTATGTGTGGGGGAAGAACAGAAGTTTAGGGACTCACACATTTTGTTTCATATCTTCAAAGAAAGAGGAGTAGAGAAAGTAGAGATAGTGTCAAGACATAGAAAAGAGGCAAACATTCCTCTTATCAATAAAATTTTAACCATGGATATTTGTTTTCCTAGGCAGAAAGCTCTCTGCCCAATGTGATGGAGTCAGCTTACTATTTTGAACAAGCTGGAGTTGGTTTGGGGACAGATGAGACTTATCGGGTGTTTCTTGCTCTCAAACAACTTACTGAAACACAGCCAATCCAAAGATGCCGCTTCTGGGGCAAGATCTTGGGTCTGGAAATGAATTATATCATTGCTGAAGTAGAATTACGTGATGGAGAAGATGAAGAGGAAGTGGAAGAGGAAGGGGTAGCTGAAGAGAGAGATGATGTAGAAAGTGAAGCCGGTGAAGGCGAGGAGGATGAATTACCGAAGTCCTTGTATAAGGCCCCACAGGCGATACCTAAGGAAGAAAACAGAACAGGCACAAACAAGTACATCTATTTTGTTTGCAATGAGCCTGGAAGGCCATGGGTGAAGTTACCGTCAGTTACGCCTGCACAAATTGTTACCGCAAGAAAAATCAGGAAATTTTTCACTGGACGACTAGATGCGGCCATCATCAGCTACCCACCCTTCCCAGGAAATGAAAGCAATTACTTAAGAGCACAAATTGCTCGCATTTCAGCAGGGACCCATGTCAGCCCTCTAGGATTCTATCAGTTTGGTGAAGAGGAAGGAGAAGAAGAAGAGGAGGCAGAGGGTGGTCGAGACAGCTATGAAGAAAACCCTGATTTTGAAGGCATCCAAGTGATTGACCTGGTCGAATCTCTATCCAATTGGGTTCATCATGTGCAGTACATTCTTCCTCAGGTAGGAGTGTATTCGGGTAATATGTAGATTTAGATTGGCATGTGTTCTGAAATGATCTGCTATATTTTAAGAACTGATGTGCATTTATTTTATCAACAGTTCTTTTATTCTACATGAATCTTTCATGTCAAAAACACTAAATGATTACTACAGACATCAAAATAAGTTTTGTACAGTGGTTATATAGGGGCTCTGTGTCAGGAGCACTGCATATAATCAATTACGTATTTAAATACGTAGAATTTGATCCTCACCACAACCCCATGAAAGGTTGCAGGATTCCTTTTGTACAATGAGGGGTTGAGGCAAACAGGGTGGGAGAGATGGTAAAGCAACCTCAGCTGATTAGTTATAGAGTGAGGTGTGAGACAAAGCTCCCAGAGCCCATCCCGTGACACACCTACTGCACTGTTCCATCACAGGTAGAAATTCATCTCTTCCATACAGATAATAGGTTCTTCTGAGGACTCTAGATAAAGATCATTATCTGAGCAATTAGGAACCCAGGCTTATAACATTTCAAATTTTGTTATTAATAATAATTAGCGTGGAAGGAAATATAAGAAAAGCTAATGAGTGCTATGAACTTACATTATATACTTGTATGTAAACATTACAATGAAAAATTCTTTTGTTCAGTTACTCACAAGTTAAAATTATGCTAATAAAAATAATTATTAAAAAGTACTATCACCAGGTGATGGTAGTACACACCTGTAATCCCAGCACTCAGGACGCAGAGGCAGATGGTTCTGTGAGTTCACAGCCAGCCTGGTCTACAGAGTGAGTACCAGGACAGTCAAGACTATAGAGAAACCCTTTCACAAAAAACAAACAAATAAAAAAACAAACAGAAAGTACAGTGAAGGCCAGATATGTATAAACCATGTCACCAGGAATCTTATGGCAATGTCTTACAACATTTTATATTTAAGGAATATTCTGCAAATAAGGAAGCACAAGAACTGGACATAAGAGAGCTTGCTGCTCTTCTAGAAGACCCAGGTTTTGTTTCCAGTATCCTTGCCAGACAGCACACAATGGGCTGCAACTCCAGGTCTAGGATATCTGATATCTTCTTCTGACCTTCATGGACACCTGTACACAGGTGCCGCATGTGCACGCACACACACACACACAAAAACACACATTTTCAAAAAGAGGGAATTGTAATGATGGATTTTTATTTTTTGAGACAGGGTCTAATTATGTATTCCTGACTAGCCTGGGACTTGTTTTGTAGAACAGGCTAGCCTTGAACTCTCAGAGCTATGCCTGCCTCTGCCTCCTGAATGCTAGAATTAAATGTGTGTGACACCATGCCTGGCTCTAATGACTGAATTTTAATATGTTAAGTAATCTTAAAATCTTTCTGATGATTTCTAATCTAAAATAACATATCAATACAATCAATTAGAACACTTCCAAAGAAGTGAAAAAATTGTGCTTTTTAAAGTCACCATTTATTTTATTTATATAAAGTGTAGAAAACTAGTTAAATGTATTACTATCATTTCTGTAAAGATTCTGACCATTTTAAAGATTGCATAGACTTTAAAGTCCTGTAACTCCAAGAAATATAAAATTATTGAAATAACTAATACAGGTTTGCTGTTTTTCCTGAAGTAACCCAGATGGAAACAACACTTGGTAAAAACATACAGAAAGAAGCTCACTGTGGAGGCATGTGTCAGCAAGTCTAGCACTGGGAAAACTGAAGTAGGAGTGTAGTGGTATATTATCTGTGTTTTGATAAATAAATCTTGTCGGAAGACCAGAGGCAAAGCTAAAGCCACTGGAGGTCAGGCAATGGTGAAACACACCTATAATCCCAGGATTTGGGAGACAGAGTCAGATGGATCTCTGTGAAGTCAAGGCCACCCTGAGCTACACAAGATCAATGCAAAAGGAAATATGGGTGGTGGTGGCTCTCACCTTCAATCCCAATCCTAGGGAGTCATATGCCCTTAATCCCAGCACTAGATGGAATATAAAATGGGAGGAGGGAGAGGCTTAGTCTGTGGTCTCCCAGCCTTGGTAGAGGTAAGCCTTCTTTAGTGGTTTGACTGCTTTCCTTTTTGGTTTCTGAGTTGAACCCCAATATCTGTCTCTGGCTTTTTATTATTTGTGCTGTATATGATGATCATAGAAAGTGACCCTGCATCAGAATAGTTGGTAAAGTTTCCTACACAGAGAAGTCTTGCCTTGATAAGTACCAACCATATATTCTGAATATATTAAGAACATTCTGACACTATTAAGGTTCTCATTAATCTATTAAATGTTGCAACATTTATCTCCAGGGTCGCTGTACTTGGTTCAATCCTATACAAAAGAATGAGGAAGAGGAAGAAGAAGAAGATGAAGAAAAAGAAGACAAAGGAGAAGAGCCTGACTATATAGAACAGGAAGTGGGACCTCCTCTTTTGACACCAATCTCTGAAGATTTAGGTAACTTTACACACTATTAATGAAAACTCATAAGTTATATATTACACACATGTGGTCAACATGCAACTGTTGGAAATCCTAAAGTGAGGCAGAGAGATAGGTCTCATCCCTTGTCCCTTCCTGGGTTCTGTAGAGTGGGAGTAAAGAAGCCTTTTGACTATACTAATGCTTTGAGAGCAGCTGAAGGACTGGAGCAGAGAGGAAACATGGATGGGCTGTAACCAACAGGAAAGGTTGACATCACTCTTGTCTTGCCTTCTGTATACCACAAGCACATGGCACAGCTACAGTACAACGTCATGCATGGTCTCTAACAGACTTCTAATCTGTATTTGTCTCTCTATTGTTTCTTCCTATTCTGTTTTGCTTGCAACTCTTACTAGGTTTTTCCGTAGTAATGAATTGTCTTTCCTTTGGTGATAAAACTATTCCCCCTGGCTTCACAAACTTCTCCTTTAGTAAAGCCTCCATTGCAAAAATGTTTGTACATATTTACATGTTTGTTAAATATTTATACATAAGCTATGTATATGTGTGTGTGCATGCACGCACTCTCTCTCTATACATATATATATACATACATACATACACACACATACACACACACACACATATATATATGTATATATATATATATGTATATACATCCATACAATTCCATTGGCCTAGGACAGTCATAAAATACTCTCTTGAGACGGGTAGTGGTGGCTCATGCCTTTAATCTCAGCATTTGGGAGGCAGAAGCATATGGATCTCATGGAGTTCCAGGCCAGCCTGGTCTACAAAGCTACTTCCAGGATAGCCAGGACTGTTACACAGAGAAAACCTATCTTGAAAAACAAAAGGAAAAACAAAAGAAAGAGAAAGAAAAAAGATGAACAAAGGAAAAAAAGAATAAAGAAAGAAAGAAAAAACCTCTGTTGATTTTACATCAAGCTGCTGTTTTATCTTTTTATATTTTAAAACTTTTTGTTTCATTTTATATATTAGGCCCAGTTTCCCTTCCCTCTACCCATCCCATCCCCCATCCACTCCTCAGAAGAGGTAAGGCCTCCCTTGGGGAGTCAACGAAGTCTGATACATTAAGCCCCTACCTCCTGTATAAGGCATCCCATCATAGGGAATGGGCTACAAAAAGCCAGTTCACATACCCAGGATGAGTCCTGGTCTCCCTGCCAGGGGTCCTCTCAACAGATCAAGCCAGATAACTATCACATTCAGAGGGCTTATTTCAGGTACATGCAGATTCCTTGTCAGTACTGAGTTCCTAAGCTCCCACTAGCTGAGGTCAGTTGTCTCTGTGGTTTTCCCAAGTGTGGTTTTGACTGGCCCTTGTCCATTTGATTCCTTCTCCTTCTCTTCAACCAAACTACAACCCAGTGTTTGGTGTAGATCACTGTATTTGCTTCCATCACATACTATATATAGGTTTTATGATGACAATTAAGGTAGTCATTAATCTGATTAAAGGGCAAGGCCCTTTCAGACACCCTCTCCTCTATGACTAGGGGTCTTAGATGGGGTCATCCTTGTTTAGAAAGAAACACCATAATGACTCCCTCTACCAAGATATGTCTTTCATTGCTCTCCCACTCTGTCCCTCCACCAACTCGGTCCTCTTAATCCCTCAAGTTCCCATCCCCCATCCTTTTCTTTCTACCCATTCCCAGTTTGCCCAGGAGATCTTAACTATTTCCCTTTCTGGTGCCCTCCATGTGTGTCCGTCTTAGGGTCCTCATTTTTACATAGTTTCCTGGGTTTGTGGATTGTAGCCAGTTTATCCTTTGTTTCATGCCTGATATCCACTTATGAGTGAGTGCATATTGTTTTTGTCTTTCTGTGTCTGGGTTACCTCACTCAGGACGATTTTTTTCTAGTTCCATTAATTTGCCTACAAATCTCAAGATGTCTTCTTTTTTTTTTTTTACAGCTGAGTAACATTGTATAAATGTTCATCAGAATGGCTAAGATCAAAAACACTGATGACAGCTTATGCTGCAGAGGTTGTAGAGTAAGGGGAACACTCCTCCACTCTGGTGGGAGTGCAAACTAGCACAGCCACTTTGGAAATCAGTATGGCGTTTTCTCAGAAAATTGGGGATAAACCTACCTCAAGACCAGCAATACCATTCTTGAACATACACTCAAAGGATTCTGAATCACACCACAAAGGCATTTGCTCAGCTATGTTCACAGTAGCATTGTTTGTAATAACCAGACATGGAAACAATCTAGATGACCATCTACCAAAAAATGGATAAAAAAATGTTTTAACTTTTTATAGCAAATGTTGATGACTTTTTCATATTTATAAAAATTACTTCACTTACCAGTTGATTCTGGTTCTGCTTTAAGTTAAGCTTATATCTTTCTCATTGGTTTCCAGATATTCAGAATATCCCCTCTTGGACAACCCGGCTGTCCTCAAATCTCATTCCACAGTATGCTATTGCTGTCCTTAGATCCAATCTTTGGCCTGGAGCATATGCCTTTTCCAATGGCAAGTAAGTATCTGGCCACTTACAAAGCCATATGTAACCAAACTCGACAGCTTATATTTTGGTGAGTGCAAAACCAAAGTCAGCCTCACCAGGACATAAAGCTGGGAAAGGATTCATCTACCCGCAGCAGGTAACCAGAATATTGAAATCAATTTTAATGCACCTTTCTGGCCAAAGGAGGGAAGGATGAAGGATGATGGTTTTGTCCAGGGAGCCCATACATTTACCCAAGGCAGAGACAGTCCTGTGTGTAGTGCACTGAGCGTAAGCTGTACATTCCCAAGCATATTCATTCAAAGTCACAATTCAGGAAGGAATGATTACAGGCATATTTTGATATATGTTTAGCTGAAATTCATAAATAACACGTCTTGGGATTTGAATCCCAGACATTAATGACTCTGGGTGTTCTCAGCTTGCATGATAAACTTTAGATAAAAATAAAAAACACACTGAAAGTACATTCATATAAGTATTTGGCTTTGAAAACCTTGCTTATTGTCTGACAATTGTAATTGTTTCAGCTCTGGAAATTATGTTATCACAGATGTCTTAACTCCTCTCTCATGTTAGACATATAATGTGTGATTTATTAAAATGACTTCTGTAATATACTAAAGATGGAGTTCAGAGCTAGAAAATTCAGGGTTGTACTTTATCATCTTAATAATCCCATTTGTCTATAATGGACTGGTTTTATATTTACTTACTCAGTAATTTAGTGGAGAGTTTATCCCTCGCTGAGAAAAACACAGTTTCATTTGTCTTGTTTATGTTTCTTTCTTAATTAGTATCAGAAAGCACAACTGAACAGGTTAAAACCAAGCTGCTTTGGTTAGACTAGCCATTAATGCCCCATGTTCAGGTGTTAGTTGGCAAACACTATGTGTGTATGTATCTGATCCATTGTTTCTAAGAAAGAAAATTGAGTTGGATGCATGGGGGATTGAAAGGAGTTGGAGAAAAGGAAAGAATATGATGAAATATATTATATGAAAAAATTTAGAAACCACAGTTAAGTCAAAAGTGAAAGCCAGTGGCTACAGGGACTTTGACTAAGCTCCAGTGAGTACATGGGCAACATAAATTGAACATATGGGGTTTTTTCTTTCCTTTTTGGAAGGTCACAAGTGTTAGGGGGCAGACCTGGAAGGACTGGAAAGTAAGTGTGATTAGAGTGCATAATGTGAAATTCCAAAATAATCAATAGAAATATTACATTGGAAAAAATAAGTAAAACCAAGCTTTTAATTATTTACTATGATAATACGAGAAAGAAAATTTTGACTTTTCCCCCCACATTATTCTCTCCCAAGGATCAAATGGATCTGCAGAATTGTGTATGTCACTGATATGTGGTCATCTCTTTGAGAAGGAACCCCATGAAAATGATTGAGGAAGTTTAATGGAGGTATAGGTGGGATCATGTGAAGGGGTAGGCCTTTCAGCCAGACACAGAACACTGAGAACGGAGGCTCTTGATTTAGGGATGCATGACCAGTCTTGGGGGCAGATGAAGGCTCTTGATTTAGGGATGCATTACCAGCCTTTGGGGCAGAATTCTTGACTGAAACTCCCTCTAGCAAAGGCGGGGTTCTGTTGACTGGTTATGCATCAAGTCCTAAGTGAGGTGAGGCCTACAAGAAAAAGCACCTTCAATTTCCTATGACCAGGACTGAAAAAATAACACATCAGTTTTTAGCTATGCCTCTTACTCTTCACCCAGCCAAGGCTAGCAACTATTGAACTTGGTAAAAAAAAAATCTTTGTTAAAAAAAAAAATTAAATAATTGAATAACTGAAGAAGGCCCTTTCTTGAGGAAGGTCTAGATACAGGGTGCATTTTTGACAAGATCTGGCTGGTTTATTTTAAATTTAATTTTATGCACATTGGTGAATATGTAAGATCCCCTGGAACTGCAATCAAAGCCAGTTGTAAGCTGCCATGCTTGGAATTGAACTCAGGTCCTCTGAAAGAACAGCCAATGCTCATAACCTCTGATCCATCTCTCCAGACCTCTGGCTGTTTTCCATAATCAATTTAGCAGTTTAGTAAAAAAATAATTTCCAGTAGTTGATGAATTACTGGGGACTATTTAACTCTGGCAATTTAAATGCCTTGTTGTTTTTTTTTAAAGAACAAACAAACAAACAAAAAATAAAAACAATGGTTCCAAGATATGGTAGCAAGACCTCATTAGTATAAAGGGTCAACCTTTCTAAAGAGACATGACTTTATTGTCTTTTCACTCACAGGAAGTTTGAAAACATCTACATTGGCTGGGGTCATAAGTATAGTGTGGAGAATTACACACCCCCAGGCCTGCCACCAGTCTACCAAGAATACCCCAGTGGACCAGAAATTACAGAAATGGATGATCCCAGTGTGAGTGAGGAACAGGCTTCCAGGGCCACACAAGAGGCCACTGTACTTTCAGCTGAGGAGAATGAAGAAACTGACGATGAAGACGATGACAATGATGACTAACATGAAATTAGCCCAGTCTGATGTGGCACTGAAACACACACAAATCTTTTATGGGGGGCTCATTTTATACACATACATGTATTTTGAAAATACATATATGTGTGTGTTGGAAATGATGGTACAAAATATCATTTCTTTAAAGTTATCAAGTGGGGGGTGGGGGTGGAGGCAGAGAGGTGGCTCAGTGGTTAATCAATATTTTGCTTTTGCTAAGGACAGTTCCAAATACCTAAGTCAGGTGGCTCAAGGTCTAGCCCCAATATCCTTCCTGCCCTCCACAGCAACTGTATGTGTGCATGAGTCATGTGTACTAACACACATATAGTTAATCTTTAAAAAATGTTTTAAAAACTAGGTATGCTGAAACATACTTTTAATCCCAGTACTTGGGAGGCAGAGGCAGTAGGATCTCTTTGAAACCAAGGCCACCCTGGTTAACTTAGCGATTTCCAGGGCAGCCAGGGCTACATAGGGAGACCATTTCTTGAAAATAACAAAGCTTGGAAAATATATCAAATTTGAGACTGCATATAAAGAACTGCTGTATAGGAAGCTGCCCAGTAGATTTTCCAGCTCAAATGAGCACATCACTGTTTTAATAGCTACAACTTAGGTGATTAACATTTAAGTCATCCTGATTGGGAAAGATCTCTCTAAAAGTGTTTCACTATGTATCTCTGGTTGTCTTGCTACTCACGCTGTAGACCAGGATGACCTCAAACTCACAGAAATCTGTCTGCCTCTGCCTCCAAAGCACTGGGATTAAATTGTGTACCACAATGCTCAAATTTAATTTAAATACGGCAAGTATTGAAAGTTATAATTCACAATGCTTCTTGTAAATGCCTAGATTTTGAGTGTCAAGGCATATGGAATTTAAAACATTGATAACCAGGGACGGGAGAGGTGGCATGGTGGTTAAGAGCACTTATACTTGTTGTTGTTGCAGAGGACCTGGGTTCAGTTCCCAGAAATCAAACTGGGCAGCTAAACAACTACCTGTTAACTCCAGTTCTGTCAGGTTTGATACCTCTTCTAGCTTCCAAAGGCTACAACCAAGTGCACACACACCCACAAATAAAAATAAATCTTTATGAAATTATGACAATTGTGTTACTTTTAGAAAGCAGCCAGCAATTTACACTTTTACACCTCCCTTGTCATAGAGTGGGAGATTGATGATCACTGGTCGATACTTTTGAGTAACACTGTGTTAAATCAGAAGGTGTCTACTCAATACTTGAGCAGATCTAAAGTACTTATGAGTCATTGCATAGACTACTAAGGTGGAATCGTCACATGGCTGTGGCTTAACAGGTAAATATCCATTTGGCATCTGTCTTTGGAGGGCCTACATGGCATCTACTTGACTCCACCTTCATTCTCCCAGCATTCAGTTTAGTTTTCCCCACATAGCTCTATTCTACCTTACAACAGACCCAAAAGCTTTTCTTTATACATTAACTAATAAAAACAACACATATACAGAAGGACTTCTGACATCATCTCCCCTTTTCAGTCTAAATAAAAAGGAAGGTTTTAACTTTAACAAAGTAAAATTATATATAACAAAAGATATATCAAGCAAGAATTACAGTTACAATGTTTATATATACTTCATCCTTTATATAAAACTATATAAGGAAACTATATAGTTTCCTTTATATAAAACTATTTAAGGAAAACTATAACTATCTATTATCCAACTTAATGGGATCTGATATCTTCACTAATGTACATAAAATTAAATTTAAAATAAACCAGACAGATCTTGTCAAAAATGCACCCTGCATCTAGACCTTCCTCAAGAAAGGGTCTTCTTCAGTTATTCAATTATTTACTTTTTCATACAGAGATTTTCTCAACATCAGAGACTACAAAAGGATATAATATTACCTAAGAAAACATGAAGTGTGTGTTATAAGCAACTTCCAAAATGTTAGAATTCATGAAGACATCTCACTGCCTGGACAGTCACCCAAAGTTCTTTTGTAACATTGCAGGCACCCATTTTCAGCTTATTGGTCCATAGTATCTGGCAGACTTTTTCATGAAGCAGGAAATTTCAAAGACAGTTCCACCTATATTGACAGTTTGTCAGTCACTTTTTTTGTGTGTTCTGCAGAATGTCTAGCAGACTCTTTCATGAAGCAAGAACCCCAAAGGATCGTCTCACCTTTATACAAGTTCAGCAATCATTTTTTTCTGTAGGTCCTGCAGGTCTAGCTCATATAGCATAGTACCAAGCAGTCCAGGTAAGAGCAGTTTCTTACCCAAATGGCTATTCAATGCCATAAGGAGTCTCTTTGGTGCCCATCATCCTCTTGAAGTAGCTTGGTGCTGCCAGCAACAGATGTGTCTCACTATTGTAAAAAGTCCTAAGTTTTTAAAACATTTAAATGCCATATTCTGTTAGTCTTTGAAAGATTTGAATAATACCTATCTAACTGAAATATATCTCTACATGTCTAGAAAACCACACTAACAAGCTTGACTATTACAGATGACTATCTATTAACCTATACTTTTAATTATACATTACATCTTTAAATGAACTATATAAACACAGTACTTTAATCAAGAGCAGAAAGACATATACCCAGTATGACAAAATTGACCTTAAATTTGTATCAATAAACCAATATCCATACCAATGCAAAGTATTCATATCTATATCCCATCCCACTTTTGTGGGACAAATGTCTATATGTGTCAATTATATTTTAAATAAATGATGATTGGCCAGTAGCTCAGCAGGAAGTATAGGTGGGACAAACAGATAAGAAATAGAAGCAGGTCAATGAGAACAGAATTCTGGGAAGAGGAAACTCCATTCTCTCAGCAGCTGTGACCCAGCCACAGAAGAAGCAAGATGTGACTGCCTCGCTAAAAAAGGTACCAAGTCACATGGCTAACATAGACAAGAATAATGGGCTATTATAAGTTATAAAATTTAATAAGAAGCCTGAGCTAATGGACCAATCATTTTATAATTAATGTAGACCTCTATGTGATTTCTTTGGGACTTCACGACTGTGGAAACTGGGCAGAACAGAAACAAATGGCGCCCAACGTGGGGCTGGGTGAAACAGAAACTCAGTCAACAAATGGTGCCCAACATGTGGACTGCATCCACATAAAACCTGGGAGAGTATGGGAAGTAATTCTAGACAAAAAGAATAAAGCATGGCTTCTCGGTAGCAGCAATTCCTTGGGTCTGCTCTGCTTGCTAGAGGCAAGCAAGCACTCTCATTTAAGAGAGGCTTCCTGGCTCAGCTTTAGCTGCAAAACTTTGCAGCTCTTTTAAGAGGTTCTGCCACGAAACACTTAAACAGAGTTGATGAAAAGCTGACCGCATGTATTTTGGTTTTCAGCCATAGCAGGAAAAAAGCCATGCTGTTTTAAAATGCCAGCTTTCTGGACTTTCCTGACAGTGCAAACTCTGACTCTTTCAGGCAGAAGGTCCAGCTACAGAGCATTTGAGTGTGAGTTCTCTGTTGCAGCTTGCTTGTTGGCAAGGACCTTGAAACATCATAGAGTTGTGGCAATAAACATGGCTCCAGCCGGTAGCTCAGCCATGAAGCTGGAATCTCAGAGCTAAGGAAGGGGCTGGATCTAGCCATCAAGGCCATGGCTTTAATCCTCTCCATACTGCTTAGCAAATTAAAGACTTATGTGGTCAGAAAAAGAGATGTATACAGTAAAGAGAGTGTCAAAGAAGAAGAAAACCTCTAAATGTTTTACAATGTGTTAAAAATATATGCAGGCTTGGGAGTAAAAAGAAAAAGGTTAAAGTCCTTTTAAAAAAAGAGAGAGTAGTTGGGTGTGGTGGCACACACCTTTAATCCCAATGCTTGGGAGGCAGAGGCAGACAGACCTCTGTGAGTTCAAAGACAGCCTCGTCTACAGAGGGAATTTCAGGACAGCCAAAGATATACAGAAAACCTGCCTCAAAAAGCAAAAAATGAAAAAGACAAATAGAGGTTAAAATAAAGGCAAGCAAAGATGAAAAAATATACAGAGAGTCTGGATACTGTATGTTATTATATACTTTTTGAATTGTTTAAATGTTGAGGAAGGAACAGTAGCTGCTAAATGATATTTGCTTATAAATGCTGGTAAATTAATTCAAAATAGGTATTTGAAAAATACCTTGACTTCAAAATTGAAGTCAAAAGGTATGTTACTTTGGAAAAGAGAATTTCCTTTTGTTTCCACAGGAAATAAGAAGCTGTGGATTCATTCTGAGTTAAGAAAAATAGGGTTTGATCAAGGAAGACCACCTGAAAAATCTCTAGTAGAAACAGATGGCCCATATGTCTGAGTTCTACATCCAGAACAGATTCAAGACTGCTGTTTGAGATGATCAAGACTCACAGGATACTCTAGTCAGGACTTGATAATAATTCTAAATTTTCTCTAGGTTCCCATAAGATTATCAGTGCCCCAAAGATCAGAACGTAGCCTGGAATACTATGCCCACATTCCCAAAAAATGGACTATGGATATTTTCTTTTGTTTAGAATGTTGGTTACAAGTTGTTATGGCTAATGGTCAGAAAAAAAAAAAAGCTAAAAAAAAAAGGATATTAGATTCAGAGTTCTTGCTTGTTTGTTTTTTTTTTAAAGAGGGGGAAGTGGTATGGAACAAACGTCTATATTCTGTCAATAATATTTTAAATAAATGATGATTGGCCAGTAGCTCAGCAGGAAGTATAAGTGGGACAAACAGACAAGAAGTAGAGGGAGGTCAATGAGAACAGAATTTTGGGAAGAGAAAACCCCATTCTCTCAGCAGCTGTGACCCAGTCACAGAAAAAGCAAGATGTGACTGCCTCGCTAAAAAAAAGTACAAGCCACGTGGTTAACATAAACAAGAATAATGAGCTAATGTAAGTTATAAAAGTTAATAAGATGTGACTGCCTCGCTAAAAAAGGTACCGAGCCACGTGGCTAACACAAACAAGAATGAGCTAATATAAGTTATAAAAGTTAATAAGAAGTCTGAGCTAATAGGCTAATCAGTTTATAACTAATGTATACCTTTGTGTGATTTCTTTG